TTTCGTTAGATTTGTTCTTTTTTGCTGAGGTTTTCTTTCGATCTCGATAGAAGGTTCGAAGCTAAGTATTTTTCCTTCAGTTTCGGTTTTCAATTGGTAGTTGTTTTGCTGTTTCACGCTATAGCTCTCAACAATGCTATGAAAATTGACCGACTTTGTGAAAGCCCTAACTTTTCTTCAAACCTAAATTTTCAATTGCATAATTTTCTATTGATGGCTCATATTGGCGATTCATCTACTACTACTGCCACTACTTCTTCAACCTCAACTAGCTCTTCTTCTGTTGAACCGTCTCACCCTTTGTACCTGTACCCATCTGATTCGCCCGGCACAATATTAGTCACAAAGACCTTTCATGTTACGGGTTATGAGAGTTGGAGACGAAGCATGTTGATTGGCTTATCATGTAAAAATAAATTGGGGATAATCAATGGGACAATCCCCAAACCTAGTGAAAACTTTGTGTTGTTTGAAAACAAATGTTCAGAAACCTATGAATTCAAGGATGCAATTTGACACTACTAGGGAGAGTACCAGAGTTCAAAGGCCTTTTACTCAAAGGATAAATTTTGATCCTACTAAGAAAGGGAATTCTAGTTTAATGTGTCGATACTGTAAGAAGCCTGGGCATCTAATTGAAAACTGCTACAAGCTACATGGGTACCCTCCAGGTTTTGGTTCCAAGTTCAGAAGGTCAGCTGCATTTGCTCAAGTTTTTGATCCACCTAACATGGGAGCTACTGATAACTCTGCTTCTGAGAGCTCCAAGGTGATTCCACTTGACATTGGGGCCAACATTCTGACAAAAAAACAATATGAACAACTGCTCAATTTGCTCCAACAGTCCAAGATGTCCTCTGCTTATCAAGACATTCCTTTTGGTTCAGCAAACTTTACAGGTCTGATAGGTACTTCTGCTTTAAGTAATTCTACTTCTTATGTTTGCAATTTTACTAAAGCAGAGGATGACTTTTGGATCATAGATTCTGGTGCTACTAATCATATGACCCCTCACCAATCTTTACTAACTGATATTAAGCCCTTTCCTTTGCCTTACCTTGTGACTCTTCCTAATGGGTACAAAGTTAAGGTCCATTGTACTGGTTCTCTTTATCTTTCTCCAACTATTTCTCTTCCTAATGTATTACTTGTTCCTTCGTTTCATTATAACCTCATCTCTTTGAATCAACTACTTGTTCATCTTAAATGTAATGCCTTTTTTACTGCCTATGCATGTGCTTTGTTGCAGGGCCCTTTTCTGAAGAAGCCAGTGGTGCTTGGTAGACTTCAGAAGGATCTCTACATTCTTTAGCCCAATGATCTTTGTGACTGTGATACTTCTTCTTCTAATTCCTCTGTAAATACCATAACTGCCAATGTTGATATAAAGAATAAGAGCAATTATCTTTTATATCCTTCTGTGTGTGCTAATATTTCTACTTCTGCCTTGTCTATTGATGATGCATGGCATTTGAGGTTAGGACATGCTCCTTTTGCTAAAATGAAGCATATTTCTTTTCTTTCTGATAACTTACCTCCCAAACAATTTTTCATTTGTCCCATGGCTAGGCAACAAAGGTTACCCTTTCTTGAAAGTACCATTCACTCTACTACTCCTTTCCAGTTGATTTATGTAGACTTGTGGGGACCCTATCACACCCTAACTTATAATAGTTTTAAGTATTTTATGACCATTGTAGATGATTTTACTAGGGCCACTTGGACCCACTTGCTTTCCTCTATGCCTTCTCTATTTTAAATCCTTCATTGCTATGGTCAGCACTTAATTTTCCCTTCCTGTTAAAACTGTGAGATCAGACAATGCTTTTGAGTTGGGAGGAAGTAATGAGGCTAAAACCTTTTTATCTGCTCAAGGTATCTTTCACCAGACTTCCTGTTTACATACACCACAACAAAATGGTGTAGTGGAAAGGAAATACAAACACCTACTTGAAACTACCCGGGCACTCCTTTTTCAATCAAAATTGCCTCTCAAGTATAGGGTGAGTGTGTTTTGACTGCCACCTACCTTATCAATAGGTTTCCTTCCCCTCTACTTCAACATAAGTCTCCTTTTGAGTTGTTGCATGGTTCCTCTCCTTCATTTGCACATTTGAAAGTTTTTTGGCGCCTATGTTTTGTTGTTGTCCCTAAGCCTTACATAGATAAGTTCAAATCTAGGACTATTCCATCTGTTTTCTTTGGATATAGTTTTGGGAAGAAAGCTTTTAAGTTGCTCAACCTCTCCAGCTCAGTCATTTTTCATTCAAGGGATGTGGTGTTCCATGAACACATTTTTCCCTATTCTGATGCATCTACTTATGCTCCTTTGTTTCCTCCACTCCCTCATTTTTCTATGCCTGAGCATGTTCCAATTCTTGACCATATTCCTGCTGCTATTCCTAGTTCTACCTCTTCCTTTATTTCTTCTTCTCATGTTCCATCTTGTGCTCCTAATCCTCCTCTTAGGAGATCTGATAGGCCTTCCAAAACTCCTGCTTATCTTAATGATTATGTATGCACCTCTGTTTCTGGTTCTAATGTCTTACCCTCTTATGATGTTAATTGCTTATTGGAGCCTCAATTTTATCATCAAGATGTGTCTAATTCTGCTTGGCAAGAGGCCATGATGAAAGAGTTTCAAGTTTTAGATGCCAATAACACCTGGACTATAATGCCTCTTCTATCAGGGAAGAAGGCTATACCTTGTAAATGAGTTTACAAGATAAAACAGCGGGTTGATGGTTCTATTGAGAGATAAAAGACTAGATTGTTGATTCGAGGGGATAGTCAATAGGAAGGAGTAGATTTTACTGAAACTTTCTCTCCAGTGGTCAAGTTGACCACCATTAGATGTCTGTTGTCCATAGCAGCTAAGAGACATTGGACAGTCTTCCAACTTGATGTTAACAATGCTTTTCTACATGGGGATCTTGATGAAGAGGTCTTTATGAAAATACCTTCTGATCTAACTGTTCAGTCCTCTCCTTCTACTACTCTTTTGGCCTGTAAGCTTAATAAATCCCTCTATAATCTTAGACATGCTTCTAGACAATGATATGCTAAACTGTCTTCAGCTCTTTAGTCCAAGGGTTTTCATCCTAGTGTTAATGACTATTCTTTGTTTCGAAAATTGCATGGGAATTCCTTGACCATAGTAGCTCTTTATGTTGATGATATATTGGTGACTGGGGATGATTTATGTGAAATTGCTGCCTTGAAACAGTTCTTAGATGATCAGTTTAAGATAAAAGATCTTGGTGAAATTCATTTTTTTCTTGGACTTGAGGTTGTCAAGCGAGAAAATAGTTTTATGGTTAATCAACACAAGTTCCTTGTGGAACTTCTTTCTGAGTTTCATTGTTCTACTGTTACTCCTGTTGTTTCCCCCCTAGATCCTCATGTTAAGTTGTCAGCTGATTCTAGATAATTGTTGCCTGATCCATCTGTCTATAGAAGGTTGGTAGGGAAGTTAAATTTCTTGCAGCATACTAGACCTGACATATCATTTACTATTCAACATTTGAGTCAGTACATGTCTGCCCCACGACTGGGCCATTTGGATGCTGCTTATCATGTATTGAGGTACTTGGCTGGCACACCCTCACTTGGTTTATTGTTATGTAATTCTCCTGATTTTACTCTCCAAGGTTATTGTGATTCAGATTGGGCAAGCTGTGCGATTCTCGTCGGTCTGTTAGTGGCCTTATTGTCTTTCTTGGTGGCTGCCCCATTGCCTGGAAGTCTAAGAAACATCCCACCATTGCTCTATCTTCTGCTGAGGCTGAGTACAGGGCACTCAGGTTGTTAGTTGCTGAGGTTTCATGGGTCCTTCGACTTTTGGGTGAGCTTGGTGTGGCTGATCTTGTTCCTGTTGATGTTTTTTGTGATATCAAATCTGCCATACACATCGCCAAGAATCCTGTTTTCCATGAACGTACTAAGCATATTGAAGTGGATTGTCAATTTGTTCGGGATGTCTTGAAAGCTATGCTCATTATTTTGCACTCTATTTCTACTCATTCTCAACTGGCTGACATTTTTACTAAGCCCCTTTTGGGTAGCAGCCAACAGGCCTTTGTCTCCAAGCTTGGAATGAATTCCCCTTCCAGCTTGATGGGGGGTGTTGGAGCCCATGACACACTACACAGGCCCCATATAGAAGAGGTCCACTTGAAGAAGTTGCAGCTGATGAAGCAGCCCCCTTAATAGACCCGGTTCATTTTTATTTAATTAGACCCGATTCATTGTAAATATATAAATATAGAGTTTCACATTATTTTGTACAGACATTAAATATTAATAAAAGATCTTTATTCAGCTCAAGTTCTTTTCTCTTCATACGAACATTTCATCTTAGGGTTTCTCGTATGAATCTTGTTCGAGATCATGAAGAATTCGACTGTTTTTAAAGAGCATCTTACCTCTTTTTCTTTATGGCTCTCACTGTCTCTATATTTAACAAAGTTCAAAGAAGCTTCGAATATTGTACTTATGTGCAAATAGAAATTTCCTTGTTTTTGACTTGAATAGTAAACCAACTGTTTTAATTCTTTCTCTGTCTCCATAAGTTTAGGGAGAAGATGATCCCTAATGATGCTTGAATAATTGGTAATTTGAACCTTTCAACTTATATGCAACTTTTCTCTAGCTCTCAAAATACACAGAAACACGTGTCAACAGCTTAAGCCAATATAAAGATATTTCGAGGTAAAGAAATCCTTGGATGAGCCAAGAAACGGAGGACATGATACCAATATGCAGCTTGAAGATACTACTGCAGATTCAAATTATTTTGAGATTCACTTAAAAGTGATTGAAAAACTAAAAGACTGAAAGACAAAGGAGGTAAAGAACTTCGCAACTCGAAGAAAATAACTGTTATTCTTATGAGAAAACAAAGATTCGGAGTGCCAATTGGATTTAGAGGGATTTTACAAGGATCAAATATTTTGACATCTAAAGCTCCATGCTCCATAAAGGTCAAAGAGCTAGCCATCTTTCTAAAAACTCAGAGCTACTTCTTTGAATTGCCAACAATAAGTTAGATTTTTATGACAAATTAGACATAAGAATCTGACAGGTCAAACGTCTACCAAGAAATAAATCAAACTAGCTAAGAAAATGGTGGAAAGCATCAGCTTAAGAATATGTGTAAATTCTAAAAGCTCCACCAACTTCAAAAGAAATAAGGGAGAGAAACTGAAAGGAAAATGTTAAAAATTATATCTGCGTCGACTTTTTATCTTTTCTATTGTTGATTCACTCTCTTCACTTGTGATGAATTTTGTTGCTTATTCACTTTCATAATCGTCATCGTCTCCAAAACTGAACACAGATGCATCTGCTGCAATGGCCTTAATATCACTTGAGCCCAGATTCGGAATGGCAGCTCTCTCAACTGTCTCATCCTTGATCTCGCTTGCACCACTTTTAGGATCGCTGCTCCTAAGAGAAAGTTGTTCGGCGTTATGTGTTAGATTGGCAATCTGCTCCTTTTGGGAGCCAGAATCAACACCTGCAGCAGCAGTTTGTGAAGCACTTGTCTGACTTTTTGTACTGGAAGGTGCAGCTTCCTCCCCATCGCTATCTGAAAATACATCATCACCATGGTTTTGGCCCCCCGATACCTTGTTTTTGTTCAAATTACCTTTAATTCCTTCACTGGATGAAGAACTGTTTCCTTGTCTTGGGTCCTTTCCTTTGGCGGCACCATCAGCCTTGGACTTTACTGGAACACTTCCATCATAATCTACCATCACAATCTCAACTTGGAATCCAGGAGATGGTAGTTTCCTCTGAAAGATACATATAGAAAGTGAAAGAAGATGCAAATCCAATTAGAGCCTAGATGAAGTAGAATGCTATTCCATGGAAAAAGAATGGATCTTCAGAAAGGATATTGAGTCAGACTCTTAATCAGAACAAAGTATTACAGATGACAAGCATATCAATTACCTTATCAAAGCCATCCAATTCCGAGACACCTAAAATCAGTCTGTTTTCCATCATTGACGTGTTTAACCAGCTGCAAAGGAAATAGGATGAAATTCTTATGTGCCTGAAAAAACTATTCAGCTAACATTTTCACTTGCATGTTCCTCTTCTCACAAGGAGTTGCCACGGGTAGTGCTTGGAAGAACAGAACACTTCATTAGTGATTACCCCCCCCCCCCCCCGGGGTTCTCACTACTTTTAGATTACAGTTAAAATAGATCCTTGAATGGCATGCACAGATATAAGAAATACTGAAAGAACAAGGATCAATTGCAAACCAGTAGAAATCTCCTTGGCGATCATGAAAATAGATCTTGAAGTCGCCTGCCAATTCAGTTAGACCAGGTTCACCAGGTAGAGCAAAAACCATAATTCCTTTTCTTTGTGTTCGTATCCAAAAATCTTCAGGCTGCAATAACCAACATACAACAAATAAATACGATATATCACAAGGGGAGAAATACTTTGAAACTGAAAATGTCTTTTTTAATTAATGTAAGCACGGCTTACAATTAAGCAAGAGTCATAAACAGAGATTGAACTAATTTACCATAAGGTCCCTAGTCTTCGGATGTTTTTTTGTAGAAAACAGGATGCCTGCAGAAAGTACAACATCAATATCGCGCTGGATTGAATTATCTTAGCAAACTGATGGGATAAGATGCATCCTACTTGGTAAAAGCATCAATAAAAGCATTCTAACTCAAATAGGATCTGATTCACGAAGCATCTCGACAAATACAAGGTGTAGCATTGAACAACTCAGCCAATTAAAGTAGAAGAACACAGAGTAGCCACTTGACTATAAGGCGATTATAGATGGATGTTATTTTGCCAATATTGTGTGCAGAAAACCTACCACTGTGACTAGATATTGTAATTGAAGGCCTTATCCAGGATGAACACTTGTGGAATCGAAATCCTCTCAGCATGCACCTGCAGCATGGTAACTGCTTAATTACTTCTTGAAGATCAGATAAAGAATTAACTACAGTTAACAAGAAAAGTACCTACGTCCAGGAGGAGTTTCACCACCGAATTGAGTCAAAATGCGCTCAAAATATTTTACATACCTCTAGGAAAAGCACAAAAGTCATTAGCTAGAGCAAATGAAATAAATGGCTGTAAATCAATATGTTTCATTTGAGACGATGACTAACAATCTGACTTAGAAGAATAAGGGCCTTCCCATCTACACATCTTTTTTGGTTATAATAGTTGATGCATTCCTCAGCTGTTGGGAAAAACTGAATAGTAAAAAGGGTAAAACAATAAGTGTGAATGGGAGAAAAACTAGCGAAAGTTTCAGACTGCATGCAAGTATTTTCCATGTACAAGGTCTCACCTTCAAGAACAGAAGGAGGCTACAAATCATAAGCCCTGTCCTAGCCATTCCAGCTTTACAATGTACAACTACCACATTTAGAATGTCCTCCTTCAACCACGAATATGCACTTTGGCAAAACAGTTTTATAAGATGAATTGGCGGGCAGTTGTGATCATCAAATGGGAAAGATGCAACCTGTTCATATTCAACAGAAATCATCTAATTGGAGATGTAACATTATACAACTGCAAAAAGTTCAAGACTTTTACATTTGCGCAAATTCTTCAAAGAAAATCTCAAAATGAACAGGTACTCATCAAAATCCTTCCAGATAAAAAATTTCTCCATTTTGTGGCTCTGCAATCCCGAAAATGAACTAGTGCAAAATAAAGTTTTAGGTAACGGTATCATATCAGCAATGGAGTTGTTCCACTATCAGCCATCTATTTTAGGTTTCTGATTTAACTACATGCAGATTAGAATGTGTTGCCTACCTATGTTACTCGAACTCTCCAAAAATGTCGCCGGGTGTGTGTCGGATCCTCCAAAAGTAGTGTATTTTTGGAGGATCCGACATGGGAGCAGTGGCATTTTGGAGAGTCTACACAACATAGTTGCCTGCAGATCTAAACACATTGAATATGTGGGGCACTGGATCTAGCCCAAGCATCCAACTGGTTTAGAAGCATGAAGGACATTTGGATCAAAAAAATTGTCTAAAGGTGCATTGCAGCAGTATTTTAGCTTATTTGTCAGGTTGAGTTTATTTTGGGATTGTTGTTTCCTAGTTGTGTTTTAGGATTCATCCAGTGCTATTAGCGAGCATTTGGACCCATAAAAGCGAAGGAGCTTTTCATAAGCCCAATACCCAAAAAACCTTGCTATTTCATTACTCCAAAATTCGTACCAATCTCGTTTATGAATGTTATGATGGCCAGGACTCTTTCCAGGCTGCTCTCAAGGCAGGTGTTTGAAACTAATCTCTCGAATTCACATAATTTAGGTAACTTCTTGAACCTGTGACTGACTGAGTAATGAATGTTCAAGTAACAACATGTCCTTTTTCCCACGCTAAAGCTACAAATAGTCGCATAACATCGCAGCACGGTGCATTAAGTTCCCGCTATGCGCAGGATGCGTGGAAGGACCGGACCACAAGGGTCTATTGTACACAGCCTTAGCCTGCATTTCTGCAAGAGGCTGTTTCCACGCTTGAACCTGTAACCTCTTGGTCCCAGGGCAGCAACTTTACCAGTTACGCCAAGGCTCTCCTTTGAGATCAAGATGTTAAATATCATTAGTGAGGATTCTTGGTGAATTTCATGAGATGAATATTATCCACATATACTAACGCCATAATTTGCTGTCTTACATGATATTTTTTTTAAAACAAATTAAGAAAGCTAACAAATTAAGAAAGCTGGCTAAGTAACACTGCAGAATAGTTTGGCTCTAACTTTATAATTCATAAAGTCATAAAACAGAGAGATAAATAAGATAAGAATAAAGAAAATAAAACAGTAATATCAATTTCTTTTGTAATTTTTTGGTTGTTCCATTGAAGCTAAACAGCATTTGCTATCACCAGCAACAGGGGTAGTGTCCTGCTTGAAGTTTTCTACTAATCAGTGTGAAGGATGGATACATCTTTAGAAGCACAGATCTCTACATTCAGAGAAATGTTGACCAGGTTAATATTCTAGTAGTTGAAACAAACCCGATTAAAGAAAGTTGCCAGACAGGTACATGATAATAAAACTACAAATACGTCAGATTTAATCAGCAAGATATTCCTTTATGCCTTGAACAGGAATCCTAAGTATGACATTTTGCAATGAGCACATATTTTAAGTTTTTTTGAGAAAAGAACTAACAGAGATCTAGTTATCCGCTCTAAACCTCAAATATGATGGAATCAAAAATATAATTTATTGAAGGAAGAGATTTGCACCTTTCCCCCAAATAGTGAAGCATCATACAATCTCTCTGAACAAAGATTATAAACTTTGTACTTTCCCTGCATTCCAGGAGAGATGAAGTTGCAGTAAGAGATAAAAAATGAAAAGAATATAATAATCCATCAGTAATACATTTAAACACCTATAAGGCTATAGCTGCATTACATTCAAATAGACAGAGAGTTAACTTATCATGCACATCTGCCGTCCAATTCCCAAATCTTCACTTAGGAAAATTACCAGATCTAAAGCAAAAATAAAAGGAGTAATATCAACAAATGCGCTAGGTATAAGGTGATATATTATCCACTGAATCAGAAAGCCTCCCTATGTCTTGGTCAAACCGAGAAGACGAAAAAACAAGCGTTTCTCTTTCCATCTCACTCTTTCTCTAGAAAAATAAAATGAACAAAGAATACCTATATTATATTTTCAACCACAACAAAAAAGACAGAGCTGTTTTAGTCTTTGGGACACACTGATGGCAACACTCAAATGCTACTACAGTTCTCTTCTTAGAAAGAAACATCATGATGAGCAGCCACTTTTACAGCAACCATGGAGCACTCACTATTCTACAAAACCATAGCTATGGGTATTTCGAGAAGCACAATTCTTCTAAAACTATAAGATGCACTTCAATAGAGTTATTGGGGACAAAGAACTATCAAGTTTACTCGAAATTACCTTATGATGAGTCTCGAAAAATTTTATCACTTCCTCCATGTGATTTCGGTAGAACCCCTGTATCATTCATCTTATATGTTAGAGAAATGCAGGTTTGGAATAACTGAATAAGTGGAAAATATCCAAAACTATGGGCGATCTTTACCTCAACATATCCAAAGAAACCAGAGCTCATGTCGCCTGCAGGAAAACCCATAGCTATGATATTCTCTGTTATGTAAGTCATATCCAAATCAAATCCACCCTCCTGTTTTATTTAATCACTTTACATCAATAATCAGCTATATCTAAGAAAAGATACAGCAAATATTCAGATTCATATCCAAATCAAATACACCCTCCTGTTTTATTTAACCAATTGACTTCGTATCTTATACAAATAAGATTAACTTAAGGGTAATGTCTAGAGTTGCTAACTAAATGGTCTTGACTTCATATCTTATACGAATAAGAAAAACTTAAGACAAACAAAGCAGCAACATTCTGATCTACCTGGTATCTTCGCTTGTTCTGAGATACTGCATGTCGTGCCTTAACTTGCACAGCCTTCACAGCATTCAGAGATGTGTCAATTAGCCCTTTAGTTATTGATTCAAACACACCTGATTGTGTGGTTGGTGAGTTGCCTCCAGCACTATCATTTGCCTCAGAAGCTTTCGAAGTGAATGGCAAACCAAGACCACTAGCAAAACGTGAGAATGTAGATGTCCCAGTATCTCCAATTGCTGACCCCTGTTGCCCAGGCGCTACAGGCTGTGGAAAGTTTAAGGTTTTCGCCCAAGATGATATGGCCGATGTATGCGACTTAGATGTGTCCTGAGCAGCATTATCTTTCTGGGAAGCAACTGGCTTGGGAGCTTCAGCATCAGAAGATTTACTGGAGAGATGTGGAGATGAACTAGTGGATTCAGATTCCATTCTGGAACCAAACAGAAAAAAAGAATCAGTGTTGTGAAGAACCACAGTAAAGAATGCAATACGGTAAGTATTTGTCATCATATGACATGTCTGAAACAAAACAATGATCTCTAGTCATCAATCGATGCTAACCTCGATCTAGAAAGTTTGCTAATGCCGAGGGGATATAACGAACTGTTGACAAATAACAGCAGGCTATGTTTTTTAATTCAAGTTATAATTAATTGTTCTCTTCCTCATTTGGATGTACCCTTATACATAGTCGCTTAAGAAAATTCAGAACAAAGTATCATATGTCTTCTTCTTTCCATCTCCTAACTTTCTTTGTCCATTCACTTTGTGTTCAATGATACCAGAAATTGTTTGAGGCTAGCTTTTGCATCAAATGGTATGCCAAAATTTTTCAACCTGCTCAAATACAATATCTAATGGTGTACATACACCCAGCTATCACCACGCATGAGCAAAATCATCAACATATATCATAACAATTGCCACATAGCTATTCCCGTCCAGATATAGAAAACCAAACGCACTTACGCAAGGAGCAGAAAACATTGGAATGTCCAATAGCCTCTGCTGCATATCGTTCAGAAAACTTAAGAAAATGATTCCCTTTCACATACACATACCGGCAAAAAAATTAAAATGCCTCAATCATGTAATTGAAGGGGAGCCTTGGAGCACGGGTCTACCTTTTTGCCCTCCAACATGCAATTGCTTCTTTAAATACCCAAAAATGGTATATTAGAGCCTAAAATGCATATGGAGCGCCCACATTTTGGACAAAAAGAGAAATACGATTGGCACCTCGCTAGTTCAGAGTGATAAAAATAAGCATGGATCCGAACCTTATGAAATGTTGTGATTCAGAAGAATCACAATGTGGATTATCAAGTTTAAACATGAGCAAATATTATTGAAGCAGAGAAATCGGATCACTCACGGAAACTGGAAATCGAACAGAAGCTGGTGCAAGCTCTAATCTCTGAGAGGCTCTGAAGTTTCTTCTGCGGTTGTGTATTTCAAATGAATGCCAGAGATGTGATAAACGCAATCCGAGTCCGTTTGTACATTCAAGGCGGTGCAGAGGTGGTGACTGGCTGCCGGCGTCTAGTGCTGTTGTTGTGGTCGATTTATCCAGATCGGGATCCTTTGTAACTGTATTCAAAGCTGAACAAAATAAATATTTTGATAAATGAGCTCACAGTTTTCACACTTCCATCTTCTTAATCGTCTCGTCCTAAAGGACCTAAACTACTATTCCCTCAGTTTCCTAATTTAATAGCACTGGTAATACGACAATTCTTTGGTGATCTTTCACTTTTTTTCACATTTAAGTTACTCTTATCACAAATTTAATAAGTTAACATTATAGTTTCTTTATAGTTTTTTGTCTTAGTTTCCGTGCAAGTCAAAATAATTTGTACGTCGACATTGAAAAAGTATATTTTTAAAGGGTAATTGTTATTGTAATCTTAAAATACTTTAGGTGTAGACAAAGAAAACCATGGGTCACGTGACATGCAATTGAATATGCTTTCCAAATTTGAGGAAATGAAAAGTAGAACGAGTAACATATTTTTGGCTCTATACTAGAGGTCATCGAGGCCAAATGTGACTCCCTACTCGTGGTTAACCAAGTCAACAGGACTTTCGAGGTTCGAGAAGACCGAATGCAGAGGTATTTGGACAAACTGCAGGTAACCCTACACCGGTTTAAAGAATGGACTCTACAACATGTACCTCGAGAGCAGAACAACGAGGCCGATGCTCTTACAAATTTGGGGTCATCAGTCGAAGACGGCGAAATTAGCTCGGGGACTGTCGTACAACTTTCGAAGTTAGTAATCGAGGAAGGCCACGTCGAAATAAACTCCACAAGCCTAACTTAGGATTGGAGGAATAAGTATATCGAGTATCTAAAAAACGGGAAGCTTCCATCGGACCCTAAGGAATCAAGGACTCTGCGAACAAAGGTTGCACGATTCACATTGGTCGAAGATGGAACATTATACAGAAGTATGTTCGATGGACCATTGGCAATATGTTTGGGTCCAGGAGATACCGACTACGTCCTACGAGAAATTTACGAGGGTACTTGCGGGAACTATTCTGGTGCTGAATCACTGGTTTACAAAGTCATCAGAGCGAGATACTGTTGGGCCAATATGGAAAAATATACTAAGGAATTCATTCGAAAATGCGACAAATGCCAAAGATATACACCGATGATCCACCAGCCCGGAGAGCAACTTCATTCAGTCCTATCCCAATGGCCGTTCATGAAATGGGGAATGGATATCGTCAGCCCTCTGCCATCGGCCCCAAGTAAGGCTAAATTCATTTTATTTTATGACTGACTATTTCTCTAAGTGGGTTGAAGCACAAGCTTTCGAGAAAGTCAGAGAAAAAGAAGTTATAGACTTCATCTAGAATCACATCATATGTCGATTCGGGATACCCGCCGAGATAGCATCGACAATGGAAAACAATTCATCAGCAACAAAATAACAAAGTTCTTTGAAGATCACAAAATAAAAAGGATCTTGTCGACGCCGTATCATCCTAATAGGAATGGACAGGCCGAATCGACAAACAAGACCATCCTTCAGAGTCTAAAGAAAAGATTGAACGATGTTAATGGAAAATGGATAGAAATTTAACAGAAGTCCTTTGGGCGTATCGAACAATATCAAAATCCTGTACGGGGGCAACACTGTTCTCCTTAGTATATGGCGTCGAAGCTTTGATCCCGATCGAGGTCGGGGAACCTAGCGTCAGGTTTCGATACACAACGGAAGAGTTAAATCACGAGGCTATGAATACGAGCCTCGAATTGCTAGATGAAAAACGGGAAGTCGCCCTCATCCGAATGGCTGCACAAAAGCAACGCATTGAAAGGTACTACAACCGAAGAGCCAATCTCCACCACATTCGAATCGGGGACTTAGTTCTGAGAAAAGTCACCCTCAATACCCGAGACCCAAATGAAGGAAAACTCGGCCCAAATTGGGAAGGACCGTATCAGGTCCTCGGTATCATCGGAAGGGGATCTTACAAACTTGGCACAATTAACAGCGAACAATTGCCAAATAATTGGAACGTATCACTCCTCAAACGATATTATTACTAAGGTATAACCCTCTCCTTTTTCATTTGTATTTTATACTAACTTGTTGCAGGGGTTTGAACGAAGGCATCGAAGTTCTCTCCAAACACGAAGTCCTTAGGTCTGAAAGCACATGTTGCACTCTTTTTCCCTTCGACCAGTTTTTATCCCAAATAGGTTTTTTCGGCAAGGTTTTTAACGAGGCAACCATTATTCGTGCTAACTTAGACCAATTCAATAGTATCCGAGGCTTTTTTACAATTAACCTCAAATACTGGGAGACATCGGATGTTATGTTTTCAAGGAAAATACTTCGTGCCAACAGGTTCTCGATAGGTAAATTTTGTAAAAGGCCAAATGGTCAAATGAACCGTGTCCATGTAGATTACTCAAGCCCTAATGGCAAAACATGTACACATGAATGATCTATTGAAAGAAGTATTTTTTCCTTACCAGATGTCCCATGACTTAGTGAAATTTCTACTTTACAATTTCATACTTATGATCTATTGCAAAAACTGGCCCAAGTGCCGATCGCAACTAAAGCTTGAACAATCAACCCCGTACTCGGGGACTGCCGTCCAAAAATTGTCATGCTCTAATTATTAAACTTCGAGATCATAAGACCTTAAAAATGCAATCCTCGATTTTCTAGGCCAAGGATACCCCACTCGGGGACTAATGCTTCGAATAAGTTTGAAGTGTAATCGGGAAATAAGCCCAAGAGGCAAACCCCAAATTAAAGTCTACGACCAAAATAACACGGTTCGGAGACGTTCGAATTCCATAATAAAAACATGCCTTATAATATATTCATAAAACTGGTTAAAAAGGCTACCCTCGACAAAGTTAAAAGGGGTTTCGATAATATCAACCCTCGAAAACCCTAAAGGGATACCGGATTGTTCGAACTCTCGAAATAATCTTATGTTAAGGCAATACAAATTTTTATATGATTAACTCTTTTAGCCGAAAAGGGGAAAGGATCCATTCTTTTAAGGCCATATCGACCTAATTCAGGAGCCTAAAGGCCATTGTATTTTTGAGTTTGAGGAGTCACCCTCACTCAACTAAAACCTAAGGGTCATCCTACTTCGAGTTCGACCAAATACTCGCTCGATTACAAAAACTACACTAGTCCGACTTCGATCAAATTCCCCAAGCCTCATATTTATGAAATTTTCAAGACATGGTCAAAACAGAATTTGTACGAGGCGGAAATTGAAATAAAGACAAATCGAAGAAAAAAAAGATCTTTTATATATATGAAAATAGTTACATGGATCGGTCAGGATCATACATAAAAAAGGAAAAAAATTTCCTCGGGAGCTACGCCTTCGTCATCAAAATCCCCTCCGCTCTCAGATCCACTCACACTCCCGGAATCATCATGAGAGTAACGCTTTGGCTTCGGCCTCGAGTACTTTCACGTTCTCGATATTGACAGCAAGGTTAAAGCCACGAGCATGAATATCCTCAAGAGTCTCTCTTCGAGACTGGTACTTGGCATGCTCGGCAACCCAGTATGATTGAGTCTGAGCAGTATCAGCAACTTCCTTTGCTCGAGCTTGAGCAGCTTTAGCATCAGCTCGGTAGACGGTCACGATCTCCTTCGCTCAACCTTTACTTTTTCTGCCTCAGATGTGGCCTTTGCAATTTTGGCGGCAACTGAGCCTCGAGCTTCTCAATTTTCTTGGCTCGGGCCGAGCTTTCCTCCTTCATGCTTTGGAGTTGATTTTCGGTTAATGACAGTTGGGCTCGAGCAGTATCTTTCTTTGAGGCAAGGCAGTCCATGTTTTGTTTCCACCCCAAAGTCTCCGCCCTCATCATGTTGGCCTCCTCACAAAGTTGTTCGATCTTTCTGGCCTTCTGCTGAACCTGCAAGATCAAAGTATTAGTCGTCATTCCCGAATTGATATATCGAGCTTCTAAAAAAAATTCATTACCTGCTCAATTAGGTCGGTCTACTCTTTATGAGTTGTGACAAATTCGGCTCAGAGGTCCTTGATCTCCTCTTCTTTTTGCCCATTGAGAAGTTTGAGGGCATTTCTCTCCTCCGTATGCTTTTGAAGATTGGCCTCGCACCAGCTCAGTTCTGCCCGGGATTTAGAAAACGTTTTCCGATGAAGTGTCAAGGCCTATGAAAAACGAAAAGAAATCAGGCAAGAAGAAATAAATGGAAGCGTAATATTGATTAAAGGAGCTGAGGCTTACCCGACTCAGAAGTCGTTGAGCCTCATCGAAGAGACTCGATGCATCACTCAGTTGGTAGCATCTTCGACTCCCGTAAAGCAACTATGGAAAAGGTCCTTCCCTTCGTGGGTTGTTTCCACTTCGGGGGTCCCTATGGCTTGGGCTTCCTAAATTTGCCCCTCGAAAAATGTAGGGAGGGGTAGCGAATCGCCAATATCTATTGCCCCAAGAAAGTCACTTGGGGTGTTCTCTTCATTTTGAAGGGCCTCGGAACCAGCCCCTTCAAGCACACTCGTCGATTGCTCATTACGATGGGAGGCATCTTCAGCCTCCGATGACTCGGGGACTTTGCTCGGGCCATCTTCCGAAATCTCCTCTGTCCGAGGCCAAACCTCTTCGATCATCACCAGCTCAGCGACCTTTGGGGCCTCGGTACTCCTCTTTATTTGGGCTACCAGCTCGAAGCCAGCATCTTCATTTTCCTCTTCTTCCTCCCTTAGTCCCTGAGCTACATCAGTAGGCAGGACGACGGTGTCTTTCTTCGACCTGCGAGCCTTGCTTTTCTTGGGCTTTGGAGTCTCAGAGGCCGAGACCCTTTTTCTTTTCTTTTCCTTCACCGGCTTCAGGACCGGGGGCGAAACCTCCTCCTCCCCGGACGAGGGCCTCATGACGACATCTTTCCCAAGGCCTGTATGAAAGGAAGTCAAGTGAGTATAAGAGGAAAACATTTTAATGAAAGCTATCAAATATGTGAAGAAAAGGCTTACCGTGATTTTTGGCCTCCTATCGGCCCCTTGCGAAATCGCGCCATGACGCTCAATATACAAGGAGGTCAAAGCTAGGGTCTAAACCCAGCTCTCGAGGTTCCGAATCGCACCAGGCATCCAAGAGACCGCTACATCATAGAAAAGGATGTCAATAAGGAGAAGTAAAAGAAACAAAACAGTAAAGAGAAGCTAAAGGAAGGATGAACTTACGCTTTATATTCCATTTCTCGGGACATCTCA